AGTATGTTCTGGGATGAAACGTGGCAAAAATGAAGAAAATTCAGTTCTTCTCTTGCAAATCTAATTCTGGTTGCTGTGAAAAATTCTTTTTTTTTAATAGTCAGGCCTGCCCCCTGAATACCTATCATTGAATAGTTTCGTGTATTCATTATTAGCCTGTGGTTATTTCAGACAGTAAAGCCCAGGAAAGCTGCTTCCATTGGAAATAGAGCACAGATACAATGCAGATTAATTGAAGTTGAATGTTAATGTGATGACACTTAGAACACTTGTCTATAGTGTATAGTAAAGCCAACATTTAATTCTTTCACTCTCTTTTGTTGTGTTTTTGATTAACCTCTCTTGATTCATTTTTGGTCCTTTCAGTAAATCTTCCATTAGTCAGCAGATGCTCTTTTCAGTACGTACAGAGAACCCTTGGGTCTGTAATCATTAATAACTCCTGAGAGATTTATGCATCTTCCTACTCTTGATTTTGAAAGAACTTGTGAAATCTGAATTTCCTTTATGCAACTTCTCTTCCGTTTCTAAATTATCAGTTTAAGCCAAAGGCCAGTTTGTAGATAGTAACTGTGCTATTTGAGAAGAGGTTTGGCATGTCTTGTACAGCTTTGGTATATCAGGGCTGGCTGCACATGTGAAAACACAGCCAATCTGCTCTTTGAAGGTTGGCAATGACACTCAGTAACTTCTTGTGTCAAATGCAAACTATACGGGAAACGGCTCTTCTCGTTTCCTCTCTTGCTGAGAGGAAGTAACAGAGGATAACATTCGTGGTCAGGTTGGATGGGGCTCTGGCCAACATGATCTAGTTGAAGATGCTCCTGTTCACTGCAGGGGAGTTGGGATATGTGGCCTTTAAGGGTCCCTTCCAACCCAAGCTATTCTATTATTTTATGTACTTCCACACAACTCAAAATATTCACTACCTACATACAGTAGTTTTCAAAGTTTGCTCAGGATGCTGTCAAAGTGAATGCTGCCCATATGCATAAGCTGTTGTAGCTGTGATAAATATGAAAGATCCCTTTACTAGGTAGGGAAAATTCCACTTCCCATTATCTGCTTGCTAGTTTTATAATAAAAGTATTGGATATGCTGGTAGGAGTCTCCTATAAACATACATCTGCCTCTTACAGACCAGTATCTTGTTTTCTCCTAGACAGCATTTATAGCCATGATCCCTGCTGCATCTTGATATTCTTGATGAGATAACATATGTGTGTCTGCTGTGACATTCACATCAGGAATTTTTTGCAGGATTGTTGATTAGATAGATAGTTTGTTTGGCTTGCCAGCTAGCCAGGACAAGGCTGGATTCTGACAGTACCTCTTCACTGTTTGGTGTTATAGGTGCTCTTGTGGAGCTCACATTTTTCTTTACCTCCTTTTGCATTGTTTCAATTTAGAGAGCTGTGTTGGATACATGCAGTGCTGTGGTGGTGTTCTGTAAGGCAGATCTTTTGTCTGATTAGATAAATTATCAACTCTCTACACTGGTTTCTCAGGGTTTGTAAGTGAAAGTTCCTTGTAGAAAAAAAAAAGGAAAGAAAAAACCCCCATAATGTGTTTACTTAAGGTGTTATCAGGGACATAAAAATTGTCAGAAACAGTGTAAAACTATAAACATTAATGTTCTAAAAGATCAGTACATGGGGAAGTCTTATTTTTATGCATGTATGTTGATTTGCAATGGATAGAATAATTCTTTATCATATTTTGTTTGATTCAAGTTTTAAATTTTTAGTGGACTTTAGTAATACATTGACCTTACTCACCGAGCTGTTGATCTATCACATTCATTGCATTTTTCACCTTTTAGTTATGTTTATATTCTTTAATTTTTACTTGTCATGGTCTTTTCCTCTAAATGGTAATTAAAGCTTGAGTTTGACTTGATTTTTCAAGACCATGGCACGTGTGATCACTTGAACTCTCTAAAATGGGTTTGGATGGTAGCATAGAACTAAAATGGAACTTTTCAGTAGGTTGGAATAAATATCTTTCTGGTCTTTTAGAAATTTGAATTTAACTATATAAAAGATAGGCTAATTCCTAATAGAATTAAGAACTTTCGCAAAGAGGGCACTGAAGTTTCCATGAAAACTCTTTAGTGACATGCCACCAGTAATGCTGTCTATAATGTAAAAAGTTGAAAGCACAATAATTAATTGCAACTGTTATACTTTTTTTTTTCCTTAGGACACAATCACATGGACATGGCAAGGACCAGGAGCGTAAGTGGTTTATATTTTATTGCTTGTATCATGATTGCTTTCCTTCTTAGTTTTTATTTACCTAACTTATAGTCATATCTAGCCGACCAGTTGCTGGTTATTGGATTGTTCTTTGGGATTAATTTGTCTTTTTTCTATTATTCCCTAATTCTTATAATAGTAATATAGAGGAATCCAGGTATAAACAATGTACTTCTGCTATGATTTTGTTCGTTTGCAGAATGGATTTTAGGTTTTTATTTTAAATTTTGATTTTTAACCAAGTGCCTGAAGTGAAACAACTTGCTTCCCCTCTACATATATTTTTGCCTGCAAGTCGATTTGGTATATTGCTGTATAATACCTGTAGGGCTGTTGTTTGAAATTGGTCTAGACAGAAGTTCCTTAGCAAACTCATGTAATGTAAAATATTAAGTGAAGCAGTTCATGTCTGTTTGAAAAAAAAATTAAGCATTATTTTCACATTGGGATTTTAGTAGAAATTCTAAAATGTTTAAGTAAATATCAAAAGAAGAAATTTTGAACCCTAAGTCAAGGGGAGTTGGCTTCTATGGTCAATGGCTTCGCCTTAGCCTCCTCTTCAGGAACTATTGTTTTGAATGTCCCATCAGAGGTCCTATATTTTAGTTGTAATGAAGAAACCATTGGGATTATCCAAGATTGAAGTAATTTAGAATTTTGTCAGTTATTCTTGCACCTGGGAACCAAGTCTAATTAAGGACATGACTAGACTTGGAGACTTGAGGAAATCATCGATCAAGATTCAGCCTACAATTAAATTGTCACATTAGAAGTAGATGAATCCATGAGAGTGTATAACATAAGTAGGTGCTGCAGCATTTACTGCATGCAGGGATCTGTGTTCTCATGAGATCCGACCTCTTCCCTTGCATTTGTACTGCAATTCATCTAGAAAAATAACTCAGCCAGAGGAGAAAGGTGTGTAGCTTACTTCCAGCTGATTGTCCTAACTGAGGAATCAAGAACACATAGGGGGAGGAAGAAGAGGGAAGCAACTTGTAGATGTGTTGTCACGTTAATGTCTACGAAACTCTTATTATGAAGTGCTGATCTCTGCTAATAGAGTTAAATTAAATTAAAGCTAAATTAGAATCTGAGGCAGCATGTGATGTTACACAAATTGACTGGGTCAGTTTAAATTACGGCTTTACTTAATTAGGATTAATTCTGAGTGACCTAAAACGTATTTCTGATGTCTTAGCAGAAGATACTGTTAGGACTGATACAGTCTTCATTTTCTCAGCAAGTATCTTTCTTCTGTCATAGTGTTAACCAAAACTTAATCTGGAAATGTTGCTGTGTCTAGGAGTATTCTGTTCAAAGGTGCTATAGCCTGTAGAACGGATTGAGAATTTGTCTCATGCTAACTTGCACACTTTCTTCTACATATTGAAAGTAATGTTTTTACTAGTTTGACAGTGTTCAGGGCAGATCAGCTGACTCTGCCTTGAAAACAAAGAATGACTATAGAATACAACTTAAATTTTCTCTGCATCAGACTTGAGTGAGATATAGGTTCTATCAGTTTTAAATTTAAGGTTTAATCTTTGACGATTACAGAGATAAAAGTTTACTTGTAACTTCCTGGGGTTTTTTAATGCCCTTGGACATGGACCTAGAAACCAGGCATTGATGCTTCCTGTCAGTGATGTGAACTTCAAATCACAGGTTCCACTGTTGTTCTTTATCCTTTTCTTTGCTTTAATGTGCTGGAAGTTCAATAGGAAGGAAGGGGAAGAAGTATTTTGCAGCCCTGCATGAGTGTTTATAAAAATGAGTAGGGTTTTGCTTTTAGGAACTGCACTTTATCTGTGTAAGAAGATTTTGAGCAGCCTTCCCCTCACAATGATTGACTGCTGTAACTAACTGGATACTGTATAAAAATGTGGCTACTACCACTGCTCCCTAATTTGGGTTTACTAAATCCTTTCCTGGATTTGAATCTTAATGCTTTCTGAGGTCAAGTTGATTCCAGTTATCTTGTATCTTAGGCTATTAAAGCACACGTACTGCATTTCATTAACAGGCTTCTGACGTATAATGAACTTTGATTCCAAACCGAGGTAATGATAAAATCTAAGTGGTTATAATTAATCTTGCCAACTCTAAGCTGAATGCAGAATTTTCCTGAAACATACTTACTCTTTCTTTGCACATTATGCATAGATTTTTCACTGTATATATTAGTAACTGTGTATCATACTACTGTTTGCCTTTCTGCTTTTGAATATTTTTTAAGATGCAAATTCAGTGTAAACTGCTTTGGTTCAACCTTACAGAATGCAGTGTGCAGAAGTATTTTCAAAGGCCTTTTCTGTTAATTTATATCTGAATATGATCAAACCTACAAGTAGGAATGTTACTTGAAGACTTTTGGATGTGATGTACTACTGTTCACAACATATAAACCTTTTTCCTCCATCCTTTTCCTGTCTTTTTCCCCTTTTAGGTTTGAAATTCTGTGGCTTACTTTATGTCAGTTTCACAATTCTGTGGAAATTGAGGTCAGTAAAAAAAACAACCCAGTATATTCTGAGCAGTTTCAGAATACATAATATTGTACTTAATTCTGCAGTAAAAGTTTGCATTCAAACTTTGTATGTTATGTATGTAAAAACAGGTTAAAGTACATCTTATATTCAGGCAAATGTCTTCTGTCTGAAAACACAGCCTAAAAATGGAATAGCAAAATACGGTTTCCACTTGGGTTAAGACTTTACTTTCTTACTGATTTTGAATTGAGTTGATACATTTCTGACTCTGTTTTAAGAGTCTTTTGTAAGTCTTTTAATCACCTGATTGCTATTCCAAGTAGTATACCAACTTTGTGTGTTAGACATCCCAGTGTGTCAATGCTCATGGACTAAGAACAGCCTTGT